AGCAGATGGTGACTTTGGTGGATCTCTTTCCTAGTCTTGCTTCCCTATAAGCCCACTCTCTACCCAGAAGCCAACATGTCCTTATGTGTAATAACATACACATAATTTTACTGTGTGAACAATGTCAGTGTCAGTAATACTTGGTATACTTAACCCGGTTGTATACTCCATCTCTGGAACTTTTCCCATTGCAAAACAGACTCTATAGCAAAACTTTCGATCATCCTCTTCATCCATCATTCTGCTTCCTTTTTCCATGAGTTTGCCTACTCTAAACCCTGAATATAAACAGGATCATATAGTATTTGTCCTTTTGTGACTGACTTATATCACTTCCGAGTTTCACTTAGCATAATGACCATGTTAAAACATGTTGTAGCACATATTAGAATATTTCTCATTTTTAAGACGAAATCGTATTCCATTGTAGCTACAAAATGGGTAGCCGTTTTGTTCACCCATCCACTGATGAACAACGTCGAGGGAAGATTTATGGTATAAATAGGTATGCATTTCTAAAATGCAATGTACTGTCTTAGTAATCTTTAAAACTTACACAATCCTCTCAAGAGTTTAGACCACGTGCCCTCTTCTAGTGTCACACAACTCAGTTCCCACACATCCATTTGGGGCCATTTCAGACCTTTCCTTTGAGATTCCATTGCTTCTCACCCTTTAGGCATGGGATTTGGTTTCTGGACCACATCTTCACCAAGGACTTCTCTTTCTAATTGACTTCCTATTTATTTATCGAAGCAACTGCCTTTTATTCTCTCTAAGCCTCCCTCTTGTTATCTTCCATTACCACACTCTTTCTGTTTCCTTGTCATGTCCTAGCAATGTATGTATTTGTTTGATGATTATTCCTTTAACTTCCTCATAAGCACACTGGAGGCTGAAAACCACACTATGTTAGTCGCCATGGCACTCATAGCAAGTTACCAAAACCATAGAATATATAAAGTAGTGAACATTTTTCTTGAATAGTTAAGTAAAAAGCTCCATTTCACAGCTGAAACTGACTCAGCAAGAGCTGATGATTCACCCAAGTTGAAATAGTAAGTTCAGAGGAGATATTTGAACATGCTCTAAAGCCATGCTGTTTCCGCTCTGCAGCCTTCCCTCACCCAGCTAGGGAGAGATTCATGCAAGCAAAAGACAAGATAGTTTAATCTTCCTTGCTATTTTCACCATCATGATGCTTTCTTTGCTTATGACATGGCAGGTTGTGTGCTAGATGCTGTATTTCTGAATTTAACAGGCACTTTTAGCTCAAAGGCTTGCCTTTTAATCTTTCAGTCTCAGCACTGTTGATAGCTAAGACATTATAGAGACAGACATTTCAATAGCATCTTTAACCCCTGACCACTAAATACCACAAGTACCCCACAAGTTATGTCAACTGCAGTCCTCTGGGAGGTAAAATCACCCCAAGCCCTTAGAATCACTGACCTAGTGGGAGCATCCATAAGAGTGTCAAATATTTCAGTGCAGTGATCAAGGCCTAGGAATGAGAAGAACTTAAAAATTTGCGATGGCCACAGTGAATAGCTAACTGGAACTCAGCTGCTATTATAATGAATGTTCAAATGTGCCAAGAATTGAGCCTTGAGGCTGATGTTTGGGTCACGTTTCAGACAGAAATCACATTTTTTAAAATCAAAAAAGTGATGCAGGTCTTCAGTGTCAAGAAACAGCTTGGAGTTGAACATAGCTAAGCTTTGAGGCTCTAAGACCAGTAGCAGCAACCCAGGACAAAGCAACCATGGTTCTACCTTTCCGCCCCCATTCCATCACAGCACCATTCTTTTCTAACTCATGTTTGGAAATTGCTTTCCAAGGAAATCTGATTTCAGCTCCAGGCAGGGTAAGGGGAAGAGGGGAGGTGGTACATCTATAGTGCCTCTGAGAACAAGGCCTGGATTACGCCCCAGGAATCCATCCAGAGAAGGTCAGAGATGGGTTTTGAGTTTCAGGGGTGAGCCTTGCCTTGCATTTGATTATCCTTTGAGGTCTTAGGTTTCAGGCCACATAGTTAAGAAGTAAACTAATCACCCACTTTGCCAAAGTAGGAATTCCATAAGCCTCTTAGATGCAAGGACAGTGAGAATCAAGGGTTCTGCCACTGACACATATAGCTTCATAAGCCTGTGTCACCTGCCAGCCATGACCAATTCAGTGTGAAGTGAACATGTTCAAAGCCATGCAGTCTGTGAGACGCTGCCATGAGGCATTTAAATGCCATATAGGGAAATCCTCAGACTCAGCACAGATGAAATCAGAGAGCACGCTCATCATCTTTCTTAATATTCAACAATTATGCTGAATTTTCAAGTCTGTGTGAACTGGCTGCCATTAATTTTGTCTTCGTTTATCTGCAGTTAAGCTCCTTGTGTGCTGTCTCCTATGAAGGTACAGCACAGTGGCAGTGTTGAGTATTTCACAACCAGCATTAAGAAGCATAATGAAATAATATGACTCCTCCAAAACTTATCTTGGCTTATTTTTTAAAAAATAACCCTTTCTCTGTGGCCTGGGAAATTGTATCCATCTTCTTACATATCTCCCACCTTTGTGGCTTCTATGGGAAGAGGAATATTTACAGAGCTCACGATGACAGCCAGGATTTATTGAACACTCCCTGCATTCCAAACATTACCTCATTTAACCCTCCAACAACCACAGAAATGCAGGCTTATGATCATTCTGTGTGAGAGGCTGGGGACCAGAGAGCTTGAGGTCTGCCTTGTGCTTTGCCGGAGTGTTCCTCCAGGCTTGCTTGTCACTAGAGCACAGGACACTTGTCGCTAGGTTGAGCCTGCAGGATGCTCAGCAGGATGTGTGCTGGGTTTCAAGACAACCAGGAAGAGCCTCTGCTTAGTTAAGACCACATGATCCAGCAGGGCAAGTGCGCATGGCAAAGTACCATCTCCATACAGTATTGTGACAAAAAGAGCACTGTGTGTTCGGAGCACCTTCTCAGGATGGAGACTGGACACAGATTTAAAGGACAGAGAGGTGAGATTAGCCAAGCAGGTGAAGAAGGCCAATGCAAGGAGCACCTGTGTGCCAAAGCATGCATGGATTAGGGGACTTGGGAATGGGCTTGATTCTGATGGAAAGATGATTAATAAGGAGGTGTATTGAGACAGGTAGAGGAGCCAAGGAGTATGTGGCCTGGGAAGGGTGCATCTTCTTTTACTCAGTTCATGAGCAAAGAACACCTTTCTATATCCAGTTGATTTCTTATCTTGTCCACTATTTTTAGCCCATGGGCCCTGATGTTTCCTCTGTCCTACTGAACCACTCATTTGTACCACTCATGACTGTAACTTCCACCCAAACTACTGACCTCAGCTCTGGGAAGATGATCCTGGTTTGTGGAGTTTCTCTAAATTCATCCTGTGCATATTATTAAGGGAATTATACAATGAAATTGCTGTGACCATGCAGGGTGGGTTAAGTGAGTTTCCAGGAGAGTCCAACAGTGGTAGTTACCCATACCTCTTTCATGCAACCATCCATTCACTCATTTTCTTGTCAAATATTTCCTGGTGCCATCTCTAAGCCAGGCTGTAGCCAATGAACCTCACAGATAGTAATACACATAATACTCAGAAAAGCACTATGAAGCAGATGTCATCAGGCCCCCTTGGCCGATGCGAACTTGGTGTTCAGAGCATCTATCCCCCACACTTGGCAGGAGGAGTGTTTACAGCTCATCTCTGTATCCTTGGTCTGCTCACTGCACCAAGATGCAAAGGTGGAGGCAGCAGCTGTGTGTGGCACACGCTCATGCCTGCAATCTCGAGCCACATTCTGCAAAAGCAGAGTGATTCCAGGCCCACGCGGAGCTGAGTGGAACACTCCTACTCAGTGCCTCTTCCATTTATTCCACAAGCACAGGAGCACCTAGTGTGTGCCAAGCTGTGTGAGTGATGGAGAGAAGACTCTGCCATGAGTGCACTTAAAAACCACAGACAAAAGAATATGTTGGGCTCCCTCTCTCTCTGGCAAGTGCTACACAAAAAGGAGTTCATTCTTCAGGCCCACTGAGGCTGAAGGAAGGAATTCATGTTTGCAGAGCACCCGCTGTGTGTCAGAGAAACAGGGAAGAAATGCACAGCATGCATGCTTTGTTTCAGACACCATGCCTCCCTAAGCATCACATCATGACAACCACTTCAAGTAGGATATGCCACCCATTTCACAGCTGACATGACTGAGGTTCCGAAAGGTCAAAAATTGATCATGAGCCAGATGGCAATAGCAGACCTGGGGTGCATGTCCAGGTTTAGCTGGTGCTTTGCACCAAAAACACTTGATGTTGGAGTTGGTTAATTGCTTTTTGTATTGGCAAGTACAACAGAGATCATAAATATATAGTTACGAAGAAAACCACTTAAACTGAGGCGACCAGCAAAATATTTTGAAATTTGATATATGCTTCTGCATGCTTCTTTGTGATGAATATCACCCTAATTGTGAAGCAGCAGGCTCTACAAACAATACTTCAGGTAACAGAATGTGCAGTTGCCTGTGATTCCTGCTGTGGACAGTCAAATGTGAAGGCTTTTACTGGGGTTTGTTGCTTACATCCATAATTGAATGAAGTCAGTAAACTAAAAATGTAATTTTTCCCACCCAAGTTCACAGACATCTCAACTCCAGATTCTATTCAAGGACAGACAGTTTAATGTAGAGGAGAGGGGCCTGCGAAGGCATTGCTCTTCCCAGCACACTTCCACCAGTCAGGCTGCAGCTCACTTAGCCTCCACCATAGCATAGGTTGAAGCGGGCTCAGAGAAGTTAAGAAATTTGCCCATGTGTGGTGGCTTCGCAGGATCTGTCCAATTCTGAGCTAGTAGACCAGATGTAGCACTGTGGGTGCCAAGTCCCCATTCATCCTTGGAGGAGAATGGGAGTCTTTATGGAGGGGTGGGAAATTACGAGAGCCTGCACTGAAGGAGGAAAATTGTTCACTTTTGCTTATTTTGTAGCCAAAAGCTGGGTCTCTTGGATCGGGTTCGCCTTTCTAATCCTCGTGGTAGCAATACTAAAGGAAAGCTATTTACCCCTCTGAATGTAGATGCCATAGAAGAAAGCCCTTCTAAAGAACCAAAGCCCGTGGGCTTAAACAATAAAGAGCGCTTCCGCACCGCCTTTCGCATGAAAGCCTACGCTTTCTGGCAGAGCTCCGAAGGTAACGCTGTCCTCCCTCACGCTCCATCTTCCTCTCCCGAGTGCCCTGCCTTCCTCACCACCCACCCCCTACTGCCCACTGACAAACTCACTCCTGAGGCCTCACAGTGCACCTGTCTCCCTCCCCTTCCCCAAACCAACTTTGCTGTATCTGTTTCTTGGGCTGGAGGCATCTGGGATGCAATGCCATCATTCACAGACTGCAAGAGGCTCCCACGTAGGCATCAGCACCAGCCCTCCCGGGAGTTTCAGAGCATGACACCTTTAAGAATTGCCATGGAGGTTAACCTGAAGGATGGGGGGCGGGTGGAGACAGAAGGCCTTGACACCCCAGGTTGCAGAAACAATGGACTCTAGGATCTCTATCGTCAAAGGGAAAAAAGGGCGGGGGCAAGCATGAGCGCCAGGACACCCGAGGCTCTGAGCCATCCAAAATCCCAGGGATATGCATAGCTGTCTGGACAGTGACCACCAGGGTGGAGACGGGCAGTGAGAATCTAGGCTCAGGTCTGTGTGGCAACGAAGGCTGCATGTATGTGCCCTCTGCTGCCTCTGCAGGGCCCAGTCTCCCTCCCAGGCCTCTCCCCACCAACAGCTGGAAATGGCACACACCTGTGATTCAGACGCAGGAGATGGAGCAGGGATGCTAAGCCTGGCTAAATGAGTCACACCTGGAGACTGCTGCTTCTGCACTTCACAGAGGGAACAGTGACCTGGAGCCGATGCACCCAGAGGCCTGGGTGCTCTGACTGACCATCCCCTTAGTTTCCGAACCCCTGCAGGTGCCATCTGCCTACAGCTAATGTGTGTGTTTGTGTGCCTCCCTTCTAGATGCAGGGACTGGTGATCCCATGGCAGAAGATAGAGGCTACGGGAATGAGTTCCTCGTGGAAGACATGATCCCCACCTTGAAAGCTGCCATCCGAGCTGTCAGGTAATACCTCAGTTTTTCAGGTGCACCTGCAAAGTGGCTTTGGGTTGTAGACAGACAGACAGGAAGTCCCTCCGGGACTCAACCCTTGGTCTACCCCAGTAGTCCAGACCGCTCTGTGGGGCATACTGACAGTTGTAAAGTCCTCTTGGCAGATCTGGTTTAGTTAGCCAGGTGCTCCCACAGCCCTTCTCACAGTACTACCAGCTGCCCTGCTGTTCTTCAGCATGACCCCTTTAATGCTGAGACTCAGGGGCTAGGCGCACCTGCATGAGGATCTATTACATTTCATCTCACTAACATCCCTATCTTCATCCACAATGTTTTTTTCCTTAGCATTGTTAACACAGTAAATCACAGATTTGTGTGTAAGCAGTGAGCATAATCCTATTTCTGCTTTGTTATAATTCTGACATGAAGTTTTAAAAGGTGTGTTACTAGGTAAAGAAACATGGTTGGGATAGGCTCAGGCAGGTAGGTATCTTGTAAGGATGCAGTAAAGTCTAGAAGTCAGGTTGCTTTACTTCACATTTCTCAAAGGATGCTAAACGTGTCATTTGTTACGATACATTTAGCAAAATTTCCAGCCTAGTCGTTCAGGGAAGCACCACAGGGTTGGACCTCAGCACAGACTTTGGTGAGGTCTCTCATGGTGCCATTGTTTGCTATGTTACATGGTAGGAGGCTGGACAACAACACTCTTACTGGGATAAATAACCGACTGCAGATCTGACTCAGGAAAAATCGGTCAATGCACCATTGTTGCACCTGCTAAGATGTTCCACGATGTGGTCTCTGCCCTCTCTTCTATAGCATTTTAATTGGTGCCATGATTCAAACATTTTCTGTAAGGAGCCACATAACATTTTGTGCTTTGTGGTCCATAGGTCTCTGTTGCAAGTGTGCAGTTTCTGGCTTATAGAATAGAAGCAGCCATAGACAATGCAGAAATGAGTGTGGCTGGAATCCAGGATAGTTTTTCTCTTAAAATCAGGCAATGAGGTCTGGTCTAGGAGCCATGGCGTATTGACTTATAAGGAGCAGGCAAGTTTGAAATGATAGCAAGTAAACTGATTACTATAATCAATATACTAAAATCGTGTTTGGAAATGAGCCATAAATTATGACAAAATTAGCTGCAATATACCATTAAAATATATATGTAACTGTAAGAAGGAAATACCTATGTGGGTTGTAGCTCCTATTCCAACTGTGGTTAGGGCTGTGATTGATGCTGTGCTCAAAAGTGTCAGATTTGGTTCTCCAGAAACACTAACCATCAAGAGAGACTTTCTGGTTCCCAGGAAGTAAGAGTTTAACTTAATCTGCCAGCTTGCACACCTTGTTTTATACAGAACCCACAAAAATTTCTTGGAGCTCATAGGCAGGAGAAGGGAAGAGGCTATTTCTGAAGGGAGGGGTCAGCTCTGCTCGGATACAGAGCAGTGGGACAGTGATGACGGTGGAGATCTTATCTTTTCAGTGTGCACACCAGGATCTGAGGACTGGCTCTGACAGTATGGCCTGCATGACCTTCTCTGAGCCACGGTGACATCAACTGTGACCTAGGTCTTTAGCAGGATTTCTCATAAAGGACTTAGCCAAAGGTCTGGTGTGCAATGAATGTCCAGTGAATGCCAGCTCCTGTTTATAACCACGGTCTTCTTGGTACTGAGAACTAGACATAAAGGATTTATATGAGCCAACTGCGTTGTGGGGTGTTGGAAGAGGCAGAACCATAACCAAGAATTGGAAGTTCTCCATTTCAGCCATCTTGACTCTTGCTTCTGTCTCCCCCGTCTCTGAAGTCGCTAGCCTTGAACATTCCCTTCCTCTCTATCCATGATGAACAGTTCCACTTTGTCTTGCAGAATTCTACAGTTCCGTCTCTATAAAAAAAAATTCAAGGAGACACTGAGGCCTTATGATGTGAAGGATGTGATTGAGCAGTATTCTGCCGGGCATCTGGACATGCTTTCCAGGATAAAGTACCTGCAGACAAGGTAAGACGGCAGCACCTGGATGAGCTGTGCTACTCCAAACACTCAGGAAACCAGGCCTGGGTGAACCTTAGACTTTCACATGATGCAAGAGGGTTAAACTGTTTCTTGCAATGCTGGCACCCCATACTGGAGTCCAAAATCCTACCTGCTGTATTGCTAATACAGTTCCCTGTATTGGAATAGTTTCCTGTGTTAGGAATACAGTTTCCTACACCTATGAGGGCAGCAAAAAAATAATGCACATTATTGGCCCCAGCCATCCAAGTGGGAGATGGTAATGGAATTTGAGGCTCCTGGCTTCAGCCGGGCCCAGATTTGGCTGTTGTGACCTCAGGAGGAGCAAAGGAGCAGATGGAAGATTCTCTTCACAAACAGTAAGTCAATTTTAAAGGCTTGCATAAGAGTCCAAACTTCAGGGGAGAAATTTTAAGTCCAAAATATTTCTAAACCATGGGGAAATGGAACCCAACAAGCACCATAAGCAGGCAAGAAAGAGTCCCTGTGACCCTGACATGGCCCAAGTGAGTACTTTCCCAGCCCTACGCTTTGCATGCTGCCAACAAAATTAGGACCCTCCCAATAGACTCCAGCTGGCTCTTTATAAATGTAGCATTTGACTATATTTTTAGAACTCATATGTGTTGTTTATGATAGTGAAAATATGGACACAGCAATATTACCCAACTATTAATTGCCACCATTGTACTGAGCACTAAGGTGGGGTGAGTGTGTGTGTGTCGCAACTCTTGTAACCCATAAGGCACATCTTGCATTACAAATTCTGCTTTTCTGAAAAACTGGAGACGCAAGGGACTTACCCGCAATGACCCAGCTCACTGGTAGAACTTGGAATCAAAATAGGTCTGCCTGGTCACTAACTCCCTTTGCTAATACAGACACTCCTTAAATGCTACCTAGCATGATTAAAATGGCATACAGGTATCAAATGAGGTTTAGACAAAAACAAATGTTAAGATGTTTAAGTATGTATGGTATTTCTACTAATAAGGCACTCAGACATATGTGTATACCTGAAACATTTTGATATGTATATGTAGGCTATATGTAGTATCAGTAATTCTGCCCGTATCTTGTGATATTAACCAATAAAATGTGTGGGATAATTAGAAAGATATTTACTCAGATGTTTACTCAGAAGTGCACATGGCGTGCATGCAATCCCCCACATAGGGGCTTAGGGAGGAAGAGTTGAACTTCCTCAAGATATTGTAGTGGGTCTACTGGGAAAATTAGTCCACACGTGACTTTGTTTTTTGTTGATCTATCAAATCTTTAATTATGAAAGCAGTGTCTTAAAAAACACACACAGGGACCAGCTTTGTAGTATAGCATTGAGCTTAAGCACCTGTTTAAGACTTAGTTGGGTTTTTTTGTTTGTTTGTTTGTTTTTAAACTTGGGCCCAGAGGCATGGCCTAGTGGTTAGGGTCCTCACCTTGAATGCGCCAGGATCCCATATGGACGCTGGTTCTAATCCCGGCAGCCCTGCTTCCCATCCAGCTCCCTGCTTGTGGCCTGGGAAAGCAGTTGAGGATGGCCAATACTTTAGGACCCTGCACCCGTGTGGGAGACCCAAAAGAGGTTCCCGGCTTCAGATAGGCGCAGAACCGGCCATTGCGCTCACTTGGGGAGTGAATCATCACATGGAAGATCTTCCTCTCTGTCTCTCCTCCTCTCTGTATATCCGCCTTTCCAATAAAAATAAATAAATCTTTAAAGAATTAAAAAAAACTTGAAAAAGTAACAGAGGCAAAGAGACAGAAAACATTTCTAACCAAATGACCACAATAGCCAGAGATGAGCTGATCCAAAGCCAGGAGTTTCTTCTGAGTCTCCTGTTGGCATTCAGCAGCCCAAGGACTTGAACCATCTCAGTTACATTTCCAGGCCACAGGCAGGGAATTGGATCAGGAAGTGGAGTAGCAGGGACTCTAACTAGTATTTATATGGATGCCAGCACTACAGACAGAGGATCAGTGTGCTATGCCACTGTGCTGGCCCAAGCTGTTCCATTCTGACCCAACTCCCTGGTAATGTTCCTGGAGAGGCACAAGATGGCTTACTCAAGTACTGGGGCCCTGTACCCACATTCAAGACCCATAGGAATTGCTTGACCCCTGGCTTCAGCTTGGCCCAGCTCCAGCTACTGCAGCCATTTTGGGGGCATATTCAGTAGATAGAAGATTGAGTCTCATATTCATTCTTTCCCCCAGCCCACAACTCACTCTGACTTCAAATAAATCTTTCAAGAAATAAAAAACATCAGAAAAATTAAGACAGTATGCAGCCAAGACTCACAAAAAAAACATGAGAGCAAATTCCTTTTTGCAGCTGATTCTCTGACACCAGCCCTCCCCGAGCCTTGACTTCCTCCCCGAGCCTTGACTTCTTGCTTGAGCCTTGGGTCCTGCAGCGTTAACAGGAACATCACACCAAGCAGGCTGGAAGTGAATGACACTATGGGGTTAGAGGTGTGCCAATTCATGATCTTGTTTCACCTTTGCTTAGTGTAGAGGTAGGCACACAGTCTGCTCAGTAACAGAAGGACTGAATGTGAGCACCCATTCTGAGCCTACGCTGCTGCTCCATGTGCAAGTAACGCTCCTGGATGACAGGAAAGGAATGGGATGTTTAAGACATGTCCTAGTGTGAAAATGTCATCTGATTGAGCATAGAATGGCCTATTACGGTATCAGAGATCTTGATATTTATCAGTTAAATGCGTTGAGGCTGAAGGTTTAGTGCCTGGATGACTAATCCCATATCCTCAGCTATGCTGATACTGTGATAGGCCAGACAGGAAAGAAGGCTGAGTTAGCATGACGCATGATGTGCCAGTGGAGGAGCAGCTGGTTTTCAAGAGAAGGCAGAGTGCTCCTGGCTGTCTGGGTGAATGGTCTTAATGGTTCTGTTCCCATCCACCCCTGCAGTTTAATGGAAACCTTTCTCTGCCATGGATCCTGGCTCAGTAGGCAGCTGATGTCTCATGCAGAAGCCAGAGAGAATGTGAGAGCCAAAGTTGGACCCACCTTTTTATTGCCTGGAATGCCTGTGAAGCTGTGTGCATAGCTGACAGCTGAGTCCAGCATTTGGCAGTCAGTCAAGCTCAGTTTTGAGGGAGGATAAAACATGTAGAAGACAAGCTTGCAGCACATTGAATGTATCCCACATGAGATAATGAGACATGGTCTCTCTCTGTTGCAGGTGTCCCTGCTTCTCTGTTCCCTGGGATGGGAAGAGGCTGTCTACACAGGCAGAACTCAGAAAGAATAACTCATTCTGTCTGTCTCCCTCCATCCCTCCATCCCTTCCCACCTTCCCATGATTTGTGCATCTTCTAAACACCTGTCTGGTGTGAGAACAGAATGATTTGCTTTCCTGCCAAACCAATACTCTGTGTAACTTAATTCCCCCTTTGTTTCTTTCAGAATTGATATGATTTTCACTCCTGGACCACCATCCACTCCAAAACATAAGAAGTCCCAGAAAGGACCAGCCTTCACCTACCCATCCCAGCAGTCACCCAGGTGGGGTTTGTGGGCATGAACCCCAGGGCTGTGCAGAGCAAAGCCCCTGGAGGATGCTTTGCCCCAGTGCCCAGCTTGGGTCCTCAGTGTGGGTGAAGTCATCATTTCCTGAAGGGAGAAGTGGAAGCTTGTTGCAACTTGTTCTTGAAAGGACTTTGTACAAAACATTCCCCACCCATCTGTCTGGGCCCTTTGGATGGCTTTCCTGTTGTTTAAGTAGCCCACTAGTATCCTTGTTCTTAAGAGTAGAAGAGACATGTTATTTATGTTCATGAACTCTTGGTCAGCCAGGCTGGCCTCTACTGCACATTCATCCTTGGATTGATGGATATCTGTCCCCACCCAGGACAAAGCCAGAGAAGCAATCAGACATTGGACCCCTGAGACAGGGAACATTTACTTCAATTTAGCAGCTCCTTTCCCTCTAAAAATTCAAACGAGGCACCCTTTAGACAGGCTGGTGCCTGAGTTTATGGCTCTGTTTTGCAGATGTCTTCAAGGCAGCTAAAATAAATAAGGAGTCAGAGACCCAAGACGTGTTATGCACCTTCTTCTTATAAAAGAAAACAACGATAAAGGCGTTTAGTCATCATCCTTGACCTTGCAATTGGATGGCAAATAGTGGGACTGTGGCGGACTAAAAATCTCTTGGAGTTCTGGCTAAGGGAGCTAGTGGCTTCCCTCTTTTGTTACTGATTTTAAGGATGAGAGTTCTCTGGTTCAAGACAACACAATTTTTCAAGAGAAGTTGACTATCCAGATTTTAGGCAACACTCCCCATTTCAAGATGGTCTGTATATTTTCAGATCATCAGCAGGACAGGGAAAACACTGGAAGTCTGGATTTAGTGCATGAATCACAGGTTTTTAACTTTGTCCTTCAATTCTAGACCACTCAGCCAGATAAGGCAAGGACATAGCAAGAGTCAGTAGCTGATGGGAGAAGGAAAGGGAGAAAGTGCTTAACATGAGAGATCTGGAAAAACAGCTACAGCCCCTGAAGGTTCTTATCTACATAAAGCATTGAGATATTGAAGCCAACTGGAATTTGGCATATGCTAACCACATACAGCCAGAGAGAGCAAGCAGAGGTAGCCACAGGCACCATCCTAGTGTTGATTTCCAAAATCAGCATTTGTTTTCCATTCTTCACAATCTGTGCCAGGTACAATATGCAAATTCACTTTACAAATTATCTCAGAGTTGAGATAACCCCGTCCCCTCTGCCACTCCACCTGCTGCACGCGCGCGCGCACACACACACACACACACACACACACACACACACACACACACACTGTTTGAAGCAAAAGCTATACACAAGCAGTCTAAGACTGAAATAGGTGTTTAAAGAAATTATGTACCCTGGGCACCAGTAATAGGTGTATAAGAGTCTCTTCACTGACAACTGAATATTGGGCTTCACTTTGTGCTGCAGTGAAGGTAAAAATGAGACACCATGGTTGGAGGCAGAAAATGTCTGGGGTTGGATCAGCATCATCAGTTGTGTCACCCAGAGGCTGAGTGATGGCTCTGTGGCTGTGACTGCCTAGCTGAAATGACCCTTCCACTGCTCAAAACAGCTAGAATGATTTAACAAATCTATTTGTCTTTTCCTTAGGAATGAACCATATGTAGCCAGAGCATCCACATCAGAAGTTGAAGACCAAAGCATGATGGGGAAGTTCGTGAAAGTTGAAAGACAGGTACATCTTTTCCCCCACCCAAAGCAAGGGTATTGAGTCCACTTTTAACTGTCCTTCTTTGCCATAAGAAGACAGACACTTGAGTAATACCATCTACCACTCAAAACAGAATAAGGAAATTAATGCTGAGTGATCACTTCCAAATTAATTGCTCTGAGCCTCACATTTCATTGTCTATAATCTGGGGATTTTATTACCTAAAGTTGCTATAATGCTTCAGTTGAAGCATGTCAATTACTTGTGATATTTCCTCGCACACAACCTGTGGCAACTGTTGTTACCATGCATTTCCAGGATGTGCCAAAGAATATTACTTTCATGCCATTTTTCAAGTATTATGAGTCCTCCTGTCCTTGAAGTCTGGTTCATGGATTGGCTGGTGTGCAGACACCTGTCTAGAGGAAAGCGAGCTGTGGCTGAGGTTCTTTCAAAGCAATGAGAGAAAGCCAGACACACACATGACACACCATGCAGCTCACTTCTCAATTCTACAGCATCACAGTGTGGATTACAGCATCATTTGCCAGCTTTACTCTAGACCAGTTCCCCTAGTGATGTTTGGTACAACCACGGGTATGATGTTATATCATTGCATTCTTATTTTTGGTCTGAGTGCTTCTGTGTACCAGTTCTGTGACCTTTGACAAACCACATCATCTTTCTGTGCTTCTGTGTCCTCATCCCTGGGACCAAGATACTAGCAGTCTCCACCTCTGAGGGTTGCTGTGAGAAGTAAAGGCGAAAAACAGACAGGTGTTCATGGACTGCTCTGTAAGTTGCAATCTAATGTTGTGATTTACAGACATCTGTAAAGTGGGACGATCCACCTGCCTGGAGAGTTTCCTGATGAGCACTGGATAGTTAGCACAAGGACTTCACACACACACCCTTGTGCAAGCACACGTGCACACACACATATTTTGTGTATGAACTCAACAAAAAAATCAGATAAGCTCCAATTTAGGCAGGAGGCAGGTGCAGCCTCACTGTGCCCCAAGGCTCTGAGAAGCTCAGTTCTTGCTAAACAACCCCCTCTCATCCTCAGAGCTTACACTACCACGTTGGAAAACCTTAATAACAATCATGCACTTCTAAGCTGCATCAACAAAGCCTCCTCTCACTCTGTGGGAACAAGTGGACAAGTAGAGACAAATACTTTCCTGCATTCCTCATTCAATCATTCTAGAAATCCCTCAGCACTATTGTTTCTATGGCAGCACTAATATGTGTGCAGGGCTTGCTAGTAGGACCACAAATGCTCAGCTGCTATGGTTAAAACTTGCACAAACTCACCTCCCCTTTTTTGTTTGAATGGCAGTTATTTCCTCCCTCTCAAAAACAATAACCCTCCACTCCCCAGGAAAGTAGTAACTTCTAACTCTTTGTACCTTGCAGGTTCATGATATGGGGAAGAAGCTGGATTTCCTTGTAGATATGCACATGCAGCACATGGAACGGCTGCAGGTGCATGTCACAGAGTATTACCCAACCAAGGGGACCTCCTCACCAGCCGAGGTGCAAAAGGAGGACAACAGATATTCTGACTTGAAAACCATCATCTGCAACTATTCTGAGACAGGCCCTGCGGAGTCTCCCTACAGCTTTCATCAGGTGCCCATTGACAAAGTTGGCCCCTATGGATTTTTTGCACATGATCCGGTGAACCTATCCCAAGAGGGACCCAGTTCAGGCAAGGTTCCAACCACCCTTCCTTCCTCAGCAACCTCACGTGTAGAAAGGCCCACTGTCCTTCCTATCTTGACTCTTCTTGACTCCCGAGTGAGCTACCATTCCCAGGCTGAACTGCATGGACCCTATTCGGACCATATCTCCCCCCGGCAAAGGCGTAGCATCACACGGGACAGTGACACTCCTCTGTCGCTGATGTCAGTCAACCACGAGGAGCTGGAGCGTTCCCCCAGCGGCTTCAGCATCTCTCAAGACAGAGACGAATATGCATTTGGTGCCGGTGGGGGGTCGAGCTGGATGAGGGAGAAGAGATACCTCGCTGAAGGTGAGACGGACACAGACACAGACCCCTTCACGCCCAGTGGCTCCATGCCTCTGTCATCCACAGGGGACCGGATTTCCGACTCGATATGGACCCCTTCCAACAAGCCCTCTTGAAAGGGGTCACTGGCTGACTCCTCCTGTCACGTAGACACACTGTATAGTTCACTCTCACCCTGTGCTTCCCTATGGGGACACCAGTGGCTGCATCAGATGCATGCATATGCGTGGTGGCCCCACCAGGCAGGGGCTTCTCATGGCCTTCACATGGCCACCTTCCTCCCCATGTCACCACAATGAAGCTGCTTCCTTTCCAGCATGGTTTGCATGACTTGACACTATATAATGGTACCGCTAATCTCTTCTAGGATACACACTTATCTGCTGTTCTTACTTCTAATCATGATTGGACCATAACAGGGAGAAATAATTGCTGAGCCGTCTATTTTTCTGTTTGGTTGGCTGGTTTGGGTTTTGGTTTGGTCTGCAGAGAAAGTGACTTATTTCTAGAATCGCTGCCCCTGTGTGTGAAATGCTCCAGTAAGTTACTTTTTTTTGAAAGCAAGGAAATAATTTTCTTTACAGAAACATCACATACCAGTGAGGTTGCCTACTGAACTAAGAGGAGGAAGGGAATGAGCTAGTCATTGAAATTTTCAAAATTAAGCAATTTAAAAATGAGTGTCAAGGAATAGCTGTAAAAACACCTTAAAAGCTCTCAAGTGGTCTTCATACTTTTGTTGTTGCTTTGTATTATGCCTCAGTTTCCTCATCTGTCAAAGGTGGTGGTAACACAAATGCAGCATTTTGAGTGAGTTACAAATTGGCAGGGAAAAATATACACACATATAATTACACTAGTTCCCTATTTATGTAGCCAAAGACAGTTTTATCAGCAGTGGGGTGCCTCTCAGGGCTCAGTGTTTTCAAAATGAAGCTCAGACCTTACACTTTCCCTTATGACACTTATGGACATATATCCATCTAGCTTAGGGATTAGAATCAAGAGGGCACTTAGACATTATCTGATCCAAGTGTTTGTTTTTTAAGTGATCTTTTGTCCAGGGAAAGTGAGCATAAGAATTGCTTCATCATCTCGGGTGGGTCGGGACTCCACTCAGCCCAGTCCACCGACTCCCCCTTGGCCCTGGTCTCTCCTCTCTCTGCCCTTTCCACAAGGTGACCTGGAAATTCTGCCAAAACCCCAGACCTTGACTTGTTGAATGGCAAGCACTCCCTTTGGTTTTTCCAGAGTGCAGGGTTGAGTTTGCTTTGATCACCAGTCACGGTCACCAAATGCATTGCATCCCAGAACCAGAAGAAATTAGAACAAGCTACAGCTATTACCACGCACAAACAGGGAAGAGCCAGGACCAGGCTATTTTACTCCTCTGAACTTTTTAAAATGAAAACTTTAAGGCCACATACAACTGTAAGACCAGCTAAAGAGTAAGCAGGCAGCCTGGAGACCACTGCCCTACTGGACGTGTTCATATCAAGCACAAGCCTCCCTATGTTCTCTGATCACATGTAACCAAACTTTGACAAATTTTACTGGAAAAGTCTTTGCTTTTCGGGGTCTAAATGTGATAAACAACCACACTATTGTATTATTGTCTCACTCTTTCCAACCATCCAAGCCTTCAAAGTGTAGGAGAGAGGGGCTCTCTCTGTGTCCACCCCTGTGTCAACAGATCCTGTGCAACAAAGCTAGACTGTAATAAGATGAATGCTTGGCCAGGCATTAGGAACTTGCACTGTAAGCATTAGGGCTAGGGTTACCTGGAGAGTGCCTGGAATGAATGTTACTGATCCTGAAGTCCTAGGTGAGAGATAAATTAAAATGCCCACATGAAGGGCATGAAGCCCCTTGACAATGATTTTCTACTTGAGCTTCTGACAGTCTGAAGAACAAAAGACATGAGTCAACTGGGCCTGCTCCTTCACTCCCTGGAATTCACATGACAGTGCCATTGACATTCGCATGAAAGTCTCATGGGGCTTGGTTTCTGAGGTTGATCTCCTTACCTTTAATCAGTAATCAGTAATTGTTAAAGATGGTGGGCCTGCTACCCAGCATCCATTGGATCACTAAACTCTTCTTTATGTATGCACTAATGATTGGAAACGATGGCAGTTAATCAAATTCCTTACATGTGTATCCATTATCTTTAACATAAGAATTTTTGCATTGCCTACTAGCTTCAACACCTTGCAAGCAGATGTTTTCAATGGAGTTCTTGGTCAAAAGTATGAGACAGCCCCGTGGACAAGCTGACAACCCTTACCATAGATACAAAGTTAGAGGAACTACTGTATGTTCTTTTAACAGTCTAGATTAGAGCATGTATGTGGGCTGGCAGCCTGCCTTCCTGCTGAATCACAAGGCCAGCACAGCAAAAAAAAAAAGGGGGGGGGAGAGTTGTATTCATCACTACGATGGGTCAACAACTAGTATGTTGTCCTAATCTATGTAGATAAAGAAAAAAATATTTCATAATAAAAAATAATCAACTATTTGAGCTATTTTTCCCCATACAAGAAAACCAAAATGAAGAAAATTGATCTTGTAGAATAGTCATGATTTGGTAATCCCTACTTCCAAAATTTAAAATTGCCTAACTGTAAAAATACGTTGTAGGTAGCAAACCAAACCTGTTCAAACTGCCTGACCAAAGACAGGACACCAACATGGCTGGCATTGAGGAGGCAGGAGTCTGAAATTTAGCTGAAGGTGTGGGAAGAAGTGATGTGTATTTCCACCAAGGTTTTTTGTTATTTGGTTTTGTCTTTATCTAAGGAATAGCAATGATGGTCTAATTCAATGGACTTGGTTACTCACACAACCCCAAATTATACTTCAGACAGAAAACTATTCTGAAATTGCAATGGTTTGGGCAAGACCCTTGAAACAATGTCAGAATCCTTCCATCATAAGAGTGGGGAGGATTTTCTCAGGAAGCACTATATTCATATGTATTCCATCTCTCAGTTATAATACAGGACACAGGAACAATTCAAGAAGTCATGCTTTAGCAGTATCAAGATGAAGGAGCTAAACTGACTCTATTAGTTTTGGGTGAAATGTGGTTCTGTCAGGCAAACGACAGGTATTTGAGCTCAAGTGTGAGTTTGTCACACCATTAAATACCAACATAGAAGCAAATGGTAAAAGTTTAAGGAAAAAATACAGGAGAAAAAGAAAACTTATCAAGTTGAGAAAGTTCTGTTCAGTAACTCTGCTCTCAAAACAGAGTTTAGAATTATTAGGTATGAACTGTTGTTCCAGAGCTGTAGTTTTCATGTGAAAAAAACAAACCATGAAACTCCGAAATGAACAAATCAACAATTATACATCTTGTGTCTATTTTGTGCAAGGAAAATCCTAGCATTATAAATTGAGACAATCTTAAAAAATCTAACAATCAGCTCTTAATTTACCAAAACCATTGTAATCCTATGAAAATGTAATGAAAAAATATGTGTTTATTGGACAAGTTGATGCCAGTGACTGTGAAATGGAAAGCCAGTGGTTAGAAATTCAGTTTCCTCCATCAAAAATCTATGCATTTGGTGGCTTCAAATATCAGTTGTCCCTTCAGACTATGCCTTCCTGGTAAGGAGACTATCTGTGGTCATCCCTGGTCCACACTTGTGAAAAGAAGTGTTATCCCAGCTTGGAAACAGTGGGAACTTGACCTTGGAAGAAAGTGATAGCAAATTCTGCATCAAAATGGCAGTGATCACATCAGCCCTGGGAGGCTGAGTGGGGTGCATTGAGACTGACTTCAATGCTGTGAACTGTGCAAGAAGAGGTTTTAAGTTCTCTGATGTTCACTTGGGACTGGCTTCACTTGGGACTGGTTTCCCCTCCTCTGTAAATCCCTACCAATGTTACAGCCAGGCCAGGAGCTGAGCTCCTTCTACTTTATTACGTTGACCAAGAGTAATGGCACAGGATCCCTACAAAGAGAAAGCTAGCATATGCCTGTGGGAACCTGCAGTTCACTTTCTTTGGGAGTAAGAGAAGACACGTATTCAGTGGCCTGAGCCATTCACCGTGCTCTAGGTAGTGCTGCCAGACATAGTCCAGGGAACCCTCAACTCTTTGTTCCCAGGTGAGGCCATGAACTGGTCTTTGGTTTTCAATAATATGTTTCGTTTTGCTTTCTGAACCCTAAACATCCCAAGAAATTGTCCCTGTGTCCTCACTTTTTCTTGAAGGCTTATGTATTTCAGGGTGTTTTTTTAAAATGCTAAATTCTTCCTTTGTGTTCTGATCAACCCAGTGTTCTATTTTTTTTCCCATTACATCACTCAAAACCAAGCTAACGGTCCTGAACAAGGCAGAAGTTGGCTTCTCACTGATGCCCTAGTTAGAGTATATTAGAAGCACACATGTAATAGTGTTAGAGACTTTGGAACCAGTGGCAGTGGTGTCAGAGACATAGTAAGGGTAAACAGATGAGCTGGATGAAAATTTCACTTGTAGTATGCTAAAATTATATATATATGTGACTCTTCTGGCCCAGTCCATTAATTCCTTGACTAACACATGACAGATTCTCACTGATAAACTATCAGTGTGTGTGCACTTTGGACCTTCTCAGTCAGTTATTAAGTTTACAGAAGAAAATGTTTATCAGACAGAAAGTAGTAGAGATAAAATCCAGCAATCTCATGCCAAAGTAAGGCATCTTCATATATCTGTTCAAATAAAAATGCTTTGTGCTGTCAATGTAAGCAAAAGGAGTGTCAGAATGAGAAGAGCAGGGATGTTGGATCCCAGGGGCTGAGTGGTGGCAGTTCCCGTGCCAGATGCTGCACCATTTTCTCAAAGGATAACTTGTAAGAAATGAATTCAAATAACAGGAATTATTGAATAGGAAAGACTCCTGGTTTTCTGTGGAAATCCTGCCTAACTATGATGGCTTCCCTGTGTTACCTGTTGAGTGCCACCCAACAATGAACAGGGAAATTTCCAGGAGAAATTCCACCCTAGGAGAATCTATTGCCAGTCTTTCACAGCCTCAGTTGCAGCATCCCTGTAGGCAAAAAAAAAATGTGTCTAGTACTGTACTGTGATTTCCAATCATGGATTCTGAGGTACTCAAGAGCAAAAGGAAACGGTGACCACTTAGGAGTGCCACTCCTTCCACATCAGGTGGCAGAAGCCCACAGTGAAGAGAATCAACAGGTGATCGACCAATAGGAAAAATGTAGAACCCAGATCTTTACTCCAGTGTCTTCAGATATTGAAGATAAACATCTAAAAGTAAAATAACTCAGTGATACCAAACTTATTTCTGAGCCCAGAAAATAAAATGATTTTCAGGCCCTCTTGGGAAACTTATAAAGCAGATATACTTTGG